GTAGTTATAGTCGCCTATAACTCGTTAATAACTCGTACTTAATTATATAGAACCTATACTTACCGCTAAAGTATTAATAGCCCCTTATAACGCCCGTATAAATTATAAAAAGGTATCTATACTCGGGTAGGCGGGCGCCGCGAGGGCCGAGAGAGAGGTAAGAATAAGGGTAGTTATAGCCGAGTCGATAGTAAGAAGGCGGTGTAAAGCCGGGGAATTAAGAGGCGAGGTAATTAAGAACCGAGTCGTAGTTAGGTCGGCAGTAACCGCACTCGCTGTACGCGCTTACTTATTAACTACGCGCGTGTACGATATTATATCGAGGTGTAGCCGCTCCGCTAGCGACTCCACCTCGGCCTTAGTTACCTCGGACCCCGCGCGCGCTAAACGCCGATTCTTACCGAGTAACTCGCGAGCGTCGTCCTTAAGGTGCTCCGAGATTTACTGCGATTAGTATACGGCTTAGATATAACTAGGCGCGACCTTACCGAAACATAAGCCGAAATCGTTCGCTTACTTAAGCTGTAGCGGCGGTAACGGTGATGACCCGCTAAGGTCTCGCACGAGACGAGCTCCCTAGCGCCCCTACTTATCGCGCGCAGCGTGCGGATATAGCGCTAGTAAGGTAGGGGGTCGCCGCCGCGCTTAGCTCGCTTACGGCTTAAGCGCGGAGGGGAGGGGGCGTTATTTAATACGTCTATATACATATTAAATATAAGTCCTATATAAGCTATATATATATATATACTTCTCTTCTAACTACTTAGTAGCTTATAAGGCGGACCGCCGGAGGGAGGTATTATAATAGTAGTATCGGCTATAACTATTATATAATTAGTATACGAGTTAAGTGTAACTAATATCTTAACTTATTACTAAGGTTTTCGAAGTCTACTATATATATATAAGTTAGTACCAGCACTTAAAATTAAACTATAATATAGCGTAAACTTATAGGTAAAGGTAGTAGCAGGACAGAAGGCGATCTATAAGAGTGTTAGCGTATTACGAGATACAGAGCATACCGCAAAAGATGTAGAGTATATATATTGTTGTTATTGTTGCTGTTGCGAAGAGAGAGAAGAGAGGAGAGAAGAAGAAGATAAAGGTAAAGAAGTTTTAGCTGTAGGCGCGTGACTATTTATAGGGTGCGGCAGCGAGCTTACCGCCGCAGGTAACGATATAAATAGTAAGGCTATATATTCACGGTAAGGCTACGTATTTACGGTAAGGCTGCGTATTTATAGTAAGGCTATGTATTTATAGTAAGGCCGTGTATTCATGGTAAGGCTACGTATTTATAGTAAGGCTACGTATTCACGGTAAGGCTACGTATTTACGGTAAGGCTGCGTATTCACGGTAAGGCTACGCATTTACGGTAAGGCTGTGTATTTACGGTAAGGCCTTAATAGTTATATAGCGAAGTAGCACTATAACGGAAGTGCTATATATCAACATCTGCTATATGCGTACAGGCACACCTATGCTCACGGAAAGACTTATCGAGCACGTGTCGCATGCGACTAGCCTGCTTCTCGAGGACGAGAAGCCTAGGGAGGGGGATAATGTCAGGAATAGCGACCAGAGCTTACTAAGCCTGCCAAGAGGACGCCTTCATCTCTCATGCAGCTCGCATGAGAGTCTTACCCTCCTTTCATGCTTTGAGTCCTGTTTAACCTAGAGGTCTAGGGACACCTAATATCATTGAATCCCACTACTATTACTCTCTGCCTATCGCTATAGGCTGTTCCTAACATAACGCCTCGAGTTTATCGAATTTTATAAGATAGCTAGAGCGATGACTCTAACGCCTCAATATATAAAAGATGAATGGAAAGGCACTGGTCTATACCTATACAACCCCCGTAAAGTCCTTCGATTATCGCAGCTAGTGCAAACCCCTAAAACCCTTACTACAGCACTACAAACACCACGATCTCACAAGCGCAAACCATCTAAAGAGGTTTATACAGTAACGCCGCGTAACGGGCGTCATTTACAGGCACAGGCGATCGGCCTTATCCCGGATATTGCAGCTTAAAAAGGCACTCGGTTGTTTATGCGTAAGGCTGCCAACAAGATCGACCAGCTTTTGTTGTAATCAGCGCAACAGACCCTCCAAATTCAGCAGTTATCGGTTCAAGTTGCTCAAAAGACCACCACCAAGCGTGCACGAGTTAACATCGACTCGAACAAGTCCTTTGCTTCAATCGTTGAGATAAAAGAGGCGCAAGACCGTGCCATCGCGCGCCAAGAGGAGTGGGAGAGGATCGATAGAGATAAAGAGGCCCGTTTGACCTCTGAGAGGTGCCAACAGACCGAGTTCACAAGCCTCTGCAACGTCTTTCATATTTACAACGTCGCTGGCGCCGATCTTTAAATAGTTACGACGGCGATCATATATGACGTGTAAATGCGGGGCTGTTGCAGTACGCGGTTGTTGCATTACACGGTGGTCTGACTTAGAGATGATTCATTTCCTCCCTAGCTCTAGCTTCCTGGCGTAGCACTTGACAGATGATATGTGGATCATTACCGCCCGATAATTTAGCCCTTACATTGCCTTTACGTACCAGTACATTCGCTGTCTTCCCGAAAATCCACGATCCTGTGCGATGAAACATCATGGCCTAACAGCTCGGACCCTGCACTTCCGTATCTCGGACGGCAAAGAGGTAAAAGAACAGAAAGCCTCGCCACCAGTTCACTGTCGACCACTCGTCAGCGGCCTGGAACTCGCCGTGTGCGCAATACTACCCTTGGTCATGGTCGACGTCCGTGTCCCATAGCTGCTTGCCGAATACACACTAGGGTTCCTGGCTCCTTGGGCATGCTGCCACAATCGTTGATGTTGGTACTGTTGCAGGGGCAAGTGTGTCTGTGACAGTCCGGCGCCGTTGTATGGATGGTTGTGGTATTGCCGGTAGCGGATGGGATTCGGTCGGCGGAGACTGGAGCCAGAAGAAGGATTTGATGGCGACGTGGAATGGCTGGTGATGCTTGTGCCGGTCTGTGGTCGTGGTGTGACTGACGCTACTGAGTGGCCTGGTGCTCGAGTCGGTATGACAGGAACAGTGAACAGGCCCAGCTTGGGTTGAGTAGTAAATATTGGCGGCGGTGGTGGCGGTTCTAACGGCATGGGTGGTGCAGACTGCTTTCTCGGTGATGGTTGTCTATCTGTTTTCGTTTCTGTCTTGTTTGTTGTTGCTGGTGTCGCAGCCAAGAATACAGGGGCAGACGACTCGCGCTTCTTGATGTTTAGTGGCTGGACAAGCAGACCAGGCGATGACCTCGAGTGCGGCACCGGCGGCCGTGAAGCAGCCCCAGTGCTGAGTGCTCGAAGTGTCGGGTCGGCACTTAACGGTGTATGGTGGAGAGCTGGAGCCCATGCTGGAGGTGGTATTGTGGGAAGAGGTGGGACGTCTGGAATCTCGGCACTCCTGGCAGATCCGTCTCCTGCTTTCTCTCGTCGCAAGTCTCCCCTTTCGGGATTGCTGCTTGCTCGACTCCGGGAGGACGAGATTGTGGACGGGCGAGTGGATGGCATGGTGGCCCAAGTTTTCGATGAGTGTGAGGACGTCACGGAGGAGTTCCGATCGCTTAGCTCCAGGCAATGTCCCTCAGATACCGATCTTAACGTCCTCGAATACGGACTGGACTGTAAGCCGTACGAGGCATATCGTGGCCTCAGGTCGTGCCACTGATACCTGGGCGGGTATATGGCTTTTTGAGAAGAAAGACTGTTGCGCCGCTGCTGCCATCGCTCATGCTCGACGCGGCTAGAACGGCGCCCGGGCATGAGGTAAAGAGGATCATCCTTGCCAAGCGAGGAGTCTGAGCACCCGCTAGAAATAGACGGTGCATGTGGGTGATTCTTGGGAGGATGCCGACAGGTGCAGTAGCAGCTGATGAGGCTTGTTCCGCGTCGGGTGTGCGGTTGGGCAATACTGTCAAAGAACGATAAAGAGGTGATCCCAAGGCTGTGCTCGAGAACGCAGTCAGAAGTGAACCTCCAGGATATTGGCATACTCACGCCATCAACACCGACAATGCCACAAGTCCTCGATGTAGTCGACATGGGAGGCCAAATCTCCAGTTCTGTTCCTTCAGGCTGCCCCGCCACTCAAGCAACGGCTGATCGAGACAGACAGGCGCTCTGAGCGCCACCAGCAGATTGACGCAGGCAAGTATTACCCACAGGAAAAGAAGAAGCTGTATACCGGCGCCGCAGGCTGATTCAAGCCTTGGAGAAGCGGTCGAGGGCGAGATCGTCTGTAGATTCTTACTCCTTTGACGGATAATGAGGTAGCAGCGAATCCCGACGACGACAATGGTCGGTAGCGACTGGGTTTGTTAGCCAGTGCCTGCATGGGGCCTGCAGATTTGCAGCCATACGTACAAACGCAATTGAGAGGTCAACGCCGGCAGATGTCGTCGAGCAAACAATAGCCTTCGCTCTCATGAAGATGGCAATGATGAATAGGCTGTAAGCCAGAGTGAGGACGAAGCAGACACTCACAATCCTGTATGCTGCGGTGTCCTTTTGGCTCTGCCTCGCCATGGTGGTGACCTGTCAATGGCAATGCTGGAGCTGCGAAGCTACCACTGCGGATAATGCCATGTTGAAGTGGTGAAAAGGCGGTTTGGAATAAATGGACATCGACCATCGCCATCTTCAAGAATGCTCATTGATTAAAGAGGGCAGGCAAGGGCTAGGAGCAGGAGGCTGGATAAATTCCTGGGAAGCGACAAGGGACTCAAGGGCGTCAGTTGGACGCGCCACGCGATGCCGGTCAGAGGAAGAGATGGTTGATTGCGCTTTGACTCTCGCAGGCACCAATTCATTTCACCAATTCTTTTTCACCAAGGGATACAATGACCCTGATGGTTCCGAGCTTTCCAACTCCCAAGACTCCGTCCAAGAAAAATCAGTTACAGTGTCCTAAAGCACAACCCATGGGTATCTCGCGTATCGTTTACAATAGTCCGTTTCCAAACCTCAATCCAACTCCATCGTAACATCTTCCTCACTGAAATCATCGTCGGCATCTTCGGCAAGCGCCTCATCATCATTGGCGCCGCGTTCAAGTAGCCGCTTGGTGAACTTCGTATCGACTCTCAGCAGTCCGTGAATTTCCGCCACCATCGGCATGACTTTGCCATTGTAGCGCAGCATCTTGAGGACGCACAAGTCGTACCCTGCAACCTGCCATGCCCATTCCGGGAAACTCCGTCCGCCACCGGTAAGGAATGTGTAAAGACACGACGCCCGCAGAAGTGTCCAGTATGCAAAGGGATGCTGCTCCTCTGCCTCCTCTTCGTACCGCAGCCGCAGCCGCTGATTAACCTTCTTCGGCTCGATGGCTTTGAACTGCTCGTAAACCAGCTGAAGAGAAGCAGCGTAGTCGGAGCCTTTCATGTCTCCCCTCTGGGAGTTGAAGTTGGAGTCAGGCGGAGTACGCAACTTGCCCCATGTCTCCCACAATCGGGTTATGTGACCGTGCAGCCCGTCCTCACCCTTCAGCATATCGTAGAGGGTAGGCGTGCCTTCACCGTACGGGGAAACATTAGCATGCGGCAGTCGCCTGGCCTTCAGCTCATCCTGCTCCATCTTCATCTTTGCCTCCTCTCTTCTCCAGAATTGACTGAGATCCTTATCATAGGTTCCTGCCTGCTGTCGGCGACCCTGCATATCCGCCAGGACCTTGTCTTTCTCACTTTCTGCAACATCGAACGTAAGATAGTCGATCACATTGAGATGAGGCGCCCCAGATTTTGGCGGAGTTTTGCCCTCTTTGTAGCCAGGTGGAGATAATGGCCGACGACCAGCGGCAGTCTTGCGGAATGCGTGCCAATCTGCCTCGCTAATAGACCAGCCTTGTTTGCGACTATCCACCAGATAGCCAGCGAGAGCGGCAATTTTGATCGCACCGGTGTGTGATAATTTGCCACTTTGTTGTTTCCGACTGAGAGAGTATACGAGCTTCTCCCACTCGTTCGAACATGTCCCCAGAAGATATTTCCTGGTGTTGAAAGAGAGACAGCGCTGTAAGAAATTCGGCATCGAATTGGCATCGTATCGACCACCCTGAAAAATATCTGATAGTGGACTGGACCTGTTGATCATGTTGCATTCTGCTTGTGTAGGCATTTGTGGCAATCGGGCACCGCAGAATGGCTCAGTAAACCTGGGGTCCCAAACGCAGGTAACCCTGTCACCATCATAGTCACCACCCGAGAGAAGCGCTGCTGTGGACCTGCTACCCCGTGTTGAGAACAAGATGACGTTCTTGTAGTTCCGCAGCTCGTGCTTGTAAACCGCTCTTCTCAACTGTATGTCAGAGGCGAGATGTGCCGGGTTGCGACCCACCAGTATCTTGATGTTGTCAAGCGCGGTTTCGCTGAAACCCGTTCTGGGGTCTACGAGAGGCGTCGTGGAGCCCAGGAACACCTCCTCCTCGGCTAGAACATCACATGGGTCAGGGGCACAGTAGACTATAGTAGAATATGGCAGCTTGATGGACATCTTCTTGAGATACCGGGTCATGTGATCTCTGAGCAAGTGTCTAGCACATACCACGAGCTGCTCGCAATTCAGCGGGTGGAAGCCTGACTCGAGCAGCAGCTTCATTTGGTGCTGCTTGCCGTCCGGAAAAGACCCCAAGATTTTGATATCTTCGGACGGAGAAGAATAGCCGTGCTCCTGCATCCAGAGCCGCAGGCGCTGGGGGTCGGACATTGCGTTGGCCAGGGACTGCGAATATGATCTCATATCTTCTTCCAATGCATCTCTGAGCACGCTGCGCGGTACGCCTCTGTCCTCGAGGACGGTGATCAGTTGCCTGTTCAAGTGAGTCTCGGCACAGTCTTGGGCAAATTTCAAGACCTCGAAGGTACGTTGAGTGGCGTCGGCATCAAGTCGCGCCTGAGGATGAGGTTTAATCTTCAACTGGGAGTCCGAAACCTGGATCCAGAATCCTCGTTGGCTGACATCAGGGAACCTCCCTTGGTAGTCCACGATCCACAATCCCTTCGCTCCTGAAATGCGTCCTTGAACGGCGGAAGGTACTTCACCTACGCCCCCATAAGCTGCCCAGATGGCTTTGGCAAGTGGGTATGAGATCAGAGCACAGCCATCGTTCATGACTTGACGCGCGCGTTTGCCGCCAGGCTCTTCCACTGCTTCGGTGCCCAGTTTGTCAGGCAAGTGGAGAAATTCGTCTGGTCTGAGTTCGATAGTAGGCTTCGTCTTCGAGAAGCCAAGACTCCATCTCGAGAAAAGTTTGAGCTCCGGTGAATTGTGGTTGGCCTCAACTGGGATGTGCCACTGCATCAAGTCCTCCAGCATGATTCGTGGGTGTGGCGTGCCATCTCTCAATACGAAACCGCCAAGATGGGAAGGAGCACCTTGCTGCATGTCGTACCCAGTTTCCGCAAACAGAATGATCCTGATGCTTGTGTTGCTCGACTTCTTCAGTTTTGCTTGCTTCTTTTCGTCTGGCACAAAGCAAGTTCTCCAGTAGCGGCCCGCAACGAAGTGTTGGTTCGATGCTAAGAAGTTGATGACCTTTTCATGTAGCGCGCCATGGCCCTTGTCAAGTAATCGAATCTTCTCTGGAGGTGTAGAAAAAACAGGAGTGGAGAGGACAATAAATCTATCGGCGCCGAACTTTCGGTGGAGACGACACGACTGCTCCAACTGCACCGGATTGAGTCGTAACCGGAATAGCCCTTGAGATGTGTCTTCACTCCATTCTAAGGCGGCTGTAAAATACCCAATCTTGTTTGTTTGCTCGTCCCAGTATCTGTTCTGCGAGGTCATCCAGGTCGGCAGGTTCGACCTCGCAGGCAGCGATCGTTGATCTTTCCCGTGGTACATCTTCTTGACTGTATCGTACAGTTTGGCAGCTGATAGCTCATTCTTTCCACACTCTTGCCGAACCATCTGATCCAGCTGAATCGGCTTGAGGCCAGTTGATGGGGCCAGGCGATGCAGTTCCCAGCTATACCAGAACGGCGTCTCTCCCGGTAGCATAGCTTGCACTTTAAAGGGAGTGTTCTGAACAAGGTCTATCGGATCAATTGCGGTTGAAGGGAGGCATGCTTCATTAAATGACCTTCGGAAGTCCTCGTCCTGATCGAGTACCATGACATCTTGTGTCGGAAACAAATCTTGGGACTCTTCATCCTGCGAACTAAGCATTGAAGTCGCATTCGAGAGAGCTGGTCCATCCTCTTCTTCTGGAGTCGTGAAGACCGAAGACACCGCGGGAGAAGGCGCGGTCTCGAAACTGGTGTATTGGGCCGCGGGAGCAAGGTTGGGTTGAGCGTGAGCGGGAGGTGCAGGCTTGGATGGTAGAAATTGGGACAGTGTTTGCTGCCGATATTGTCGCTTGTTTTGCTGCGGCCAACGGTAAGTACAGAGGTATTCAGATGTAAGGGGAGACTGACCCCATTAGGAGACTCCAGCGTGCGCTTAGTGGAATTTTTCAAGGGATTCTTGAGCTGGGGGTCTTCAGACCTGGACACGATCACTTCAGACGCTTTGATGACTTGGCGTGTGGGTGTCTTGGGCTCCTGCTTCCGAGCCGCGCTCCGCTTCGGAGGAGTCGATGGCGCTGTGGTGAAGGACGTTGAGGAAGTCCTTTCAGTCGAGTAAGTACGAGTCATCTTTGCCAACTCATAGTTCTCATCCAAGATTTGAAAAAGACGTTCCTGCAATCGAAGTCGCTGCGTGTCTGACAGTCGCACCACGCCAGATTTGTGTTTGATTCGAAAGTCACGTTCGACCAGATTCTTAGTCTGAGGAAGGACTGGCAAAGTTCCCCGCTCTTGAAAAGGCTTGAAAACCCATTCCGAATGAATCTGCCGGGCACTCTGATTGAAGTCTGCGAGGATGGCATCGATGTTGGCTGTTTTGTAACACAAGAATCTAATCCTCTTGGAGCATCTCGACGCTAGTAGACCAGTTTCGTCAGCTCGATCGGCATCCTTGCCATGCAGTCTTGGAAGCCCTAGATCCCAGAGAGCGTTGAGAGAGTCTATGGCTTGGTCGATTCTTCGGCTGGTGTCATGAGGTGTGGTAGCCATGTTCCGCTATTCTCAAATCGAAGTCAGATGGGATGCTGCTAGAGAAGACACCCTGCAGCGGAACCATAAGAACGCCTTCCGCAAGTTATTAATGGGACCTCTTCGCAATAAGGCACAGCTCAGCTTTCGATGTTACGACAGCCTCATGAGCTACCAAACTGTTCCCAATGCGCCAAAACTCCGAGACAAAAGCAGCACAGTACAAGAGCGAAGACAAAGCCTGCAAGACTCAAGTTGAGTGCATGATTATCCAATAATCAATGCCTGAGTCAACAAGTGAAGGTCGAGTCCCGTTAGTGGCATTGAACACGGAGGGAGGTCGAAAGATTGCGGGTGGAAGGGAAGGGAGACCCATTGAGCCGCATTCGTAGCGCCCGGAAAAACATGGCGCCCACGATGGAGCGGCACGACCCTGGCACTACTTGCCCCGTTGCCCTGGGAGTACTGCTCAAGCGCCTCGACCACGCGTCGACGCGTTAAGTGCTGCATTTCGAGCTAGACGCCGTTGTGTCGAACATTGAAGATTTCGGCTATGGGACAATGTATGTTTGTGCTGAGGGTCGCATGTGACGTCCTTGAAGTCACGCATATCCAATGTCTACCTTCATGCGAATCTTGAGCATTGGGTGGCACTTTTGACACAAATCACGGCGCCAGTGGTGATGTGTACGAGAGTAAGAAGAAATGGTTGCGAAGGGGCTTTCGACCCTTTTATTGTTCTGGTTGTCAAAGTAAACTTCCGTCTCTAGGTAGGCGACCATTGGCGCCTGCGGTACGTGGTGATGCAGCGGTGCCTTAGGCTTCAGCGAAGAGACTTGCCAAACAGCAGCTATCAGCCAACCACTTCCGCCCTTGACAATTAAAGTTTCCGTAGTGACATCCTCCGCTCCTCTCGGACCACTCAGCACAAAATCCCTAGCACCCCATCCATCATGTGCTAGGCCCCTTACTCGATTGTGTCTCTGGCCATGCCCTGATCAATCACATTGGTTTCATGCATTCGTTGAGTCGTCAGTCAAGAAGCGCTATTTGAATCCAGGCTTGCGGACTCGCACACCGTCTTGCTAATCCTTACGACGGTGGCCACGTGGATTAGAAGATCCGCTGGGCCATGTTAGTCTAGGTTGAAAGGATAAAACGACAGAATGCGGAGTACTCACAAGCTAATCCTTCTGGCGACGCCCTGCAGATTGGCGTCGTTCTCTGCTTCGGTAGCAGCTCTTTCCAACGCAGCGCGCCTGTCCTCGGCACTCCGCTTCTCGATCTCCTCAGGCGATGGCGGCAGACGTTCATTCTGAAGGTCGACTTTACGCGCGTCCTCGAAGTTGTGGATGGCCTGCTTGATACCTTCTGCGCCCAGCATGAGCGTACCCGCCGGCAAGCGGCCACCAGCCTGCGTCTTCAGCTCAGTCACACGTTCGGATTCCTCACGCAAGACCTGGAACACTCTCGACAGACGGCCAATAGCAAGGATCTTGTTCTTGATCGCTCGTCTTTTGGCTTCTGTGGATTCCGGATCTGCCCCAAACGGAGGAGTTTCGGGGCCCATGTTGGAGCTCGTGGTGTCATCCTCCAATTCTTCTTTGGAGCAGGTGTTGAGAATGGCAATGAGCATGTCTGTGATCTTCTCGCCGACGAAAGGCAAAGACCAGGTGAAGACATCCATGAAATTCGGCAGCCAATATGGATGAGGGGTACAATTGAATTGTCGGATGTTCATAACATTGTTCTCGTACTTAAGGACGGCGGCCTTGTTGTTGTAAACATCGAGGTAATTCGGTGCGCTGAATATGGTCATGACGCTGGGGAAGCCTGTAGTGCGGGTCTTACGATACATGCGGTAGCCGGCATCTTGCGCCTCGTGTGCGCGGATGATGGAGAGTAGGTTGTTCTTCTCTAGGAAATTGCAGGCGGCAGGGTACGAGAAGAAGTATGAGCAGCCTCTCACATGGTTGTGCACGAAGTACTCGCCCGTCTTTTCCTGGCCGAATTCCTCCAGAGGATCTGCCCAGAGAATATCGCACATGAGGCCGTGGGTGGGAGGCTCGCGGAAGCGGTCAATCTACCAGCGTCAGTTTGAATCCACATCTAGATAGCGCGCGACCTACAATTTTGATGTCCTCCAGAGTGTGCAGCTCCGGACTTAGACCACCATGTATGCACAAGAATTGCTTGTTCATAACGGCGGCCAAAGGCAACGCGCAGAAAGACTCCATGCACGCATCGTAGATCTTTTCCGAGTATTTGTGCTTGCACTCGAGCTTGAATGTGAAATAGTCTGTCAGGTGCCGACACTCATGATTCCCACGAAGAAGCCACAAGGTGTTGGGATACCATATCTTGAGGGACCATAGGTACAGAACGCACTGTCTAGGTCAGCCACATGTGTGAGGAGGAATGAAGGACAACCAACCTCGATGCTGAAGTATCCTCGGTCCACATAATCACCCAAGAACAGATATCTGGTCTCAGCAGGGTCTCCGCCCACCTCAAACAGCTTCATCAAGTCGAAGTATTGTCCATGAACGTCACCGCAAACCGTAATCGGGGCGTCCATTTCCAACAGGTTGGGCTCCGCCTTCAGGATTTTGGTGCCCTCGTGGATAATCCATAGTGCTTGCTCCTCAGTTAAACGACCCTCCCTATAGAAATGTTGTTTCAAGAAGGATAGGTTCGGTTTGGACCGGTCCACTGATGACCAGAATTGTTCATTTGTAGGAGGTTGCATGGCAGGGGCCTGAACATCTGTGGCGGGGGGTCAGAGGCAGGCCATGATGAATAGCACGGTTTACGACATACCTTTGCATACTCGCTCCTGGGTGCTCACTTGAGAGCCATCCTCCATGATATGCAGGGTGAAATCTATCTCCGGGACAGGCTTCTTGTCCACCACCGCCCTGTGTAACGCGCCATCCATCTTGCCAGCTAGGTGCGCACCTGGCGCAAAAGCTTGGTCGAAGTCGGGGATTGTCGACTTATAAGAGAGTCGCCTGCTTGTGTAGGAAAAGCAAGCGTCGCAGGGAAGGTCAATGAGGCAACGGTCGGCAAAGGCGGTAGCAGAATACTAGGGCAAGGAGGGAAACGTTTTGGTCGTGGGTGGTAGCCAGGAGGTGGATTTCACTCGTCGTTAATGGTCACTTAGAACTGAGTACCACACCTTTTCGGAGGAGATTGCGAGTGAAGGTAGGTATGGTGGTAGATATCGACCCAATGTCAGAGCTGAAAGAAAAGCGGAATAATCTTTGGGGGCGGCTGAGGCTGCACAGTGTAAAGAGTCCAACAGTCTCAGTAGCAATTGGATTTCAAGCGTCCAAACCGGTTTGGGCCAGGGCTGAAATGTCTCCAAGCTTTGGCGATTCACCCAGAACCGCGCCTAAGAACTCTCGTACGAGGACGGAGTAGTCATGCACCGCGAATGGCAACTGCTGAGAAATGGATGAAGAAGAAGCTTGGCTCACCGATTGGACTGGTGTGGATTCCGAGAACCACAAAGACAGCATGCGGGCCAAAAGGCACACAAAGAGGGGACGAGGGCACGGGGGAATTTGGTTAATTAAAGAGGGGCAAAGTGCTAGCGAGGCACGCGCTCAGCTCTGGCCTTGACTCCCCGTGCTCCCTGTACGAGCTGCCTCACCAAAGGTCCAGGTACTCAGCACATGCCGAGCATACTTCGATCCAGACGGTAGGCACGCGCCGCGGGCCACCAACCAAAGTCGTTTGGATTGACTCTCTATCTCCGTGCGCGGTGCTGATAATATTGCGAATGAACCTGGAGACGCATCTCTCGGCCAACCTCTCACCTCATTCAGCTCCCAGTCAAGATGTTTGACTCCCACAGTATGGCATCCGGCAAGTAGCCTCTAGAGGGTCTCGGACACTGACTGTTGGCTAGAACCTCATCCTCTGCTGGCTCAGGTCCCCTTGACAGTCTCGCCCTTCTTGTCCTTACCGACAGTTGTGACTCTTCCGTACACTTTTCGATCCGTGCCGACGTCGCTTCCCCCTTCAATCGTATCTGAGAATGGCCCGGGAAAGCCCAAGTATGTCACTTCCTCCTCAGGTCATTCTGCCCACCCAGACGATATCATAAATTCGTGCAAAGCCCTCCAAGAGCACCTCAAGAAGACCATAAGGGATGCAGAGAAGGCCATTGAAGACTGGGAGCAAGATATCAAGGACCGAGATCTGGCGGAGAAGCGACGGGTTGCACCTGGTTGGTTGGATCGAGAAGAGAAGATCTTAGAGCCTACCAAGGCACAGGCGAAGGGTGAGAATCTACTCGATGGCCAACCAGCGAACACCATCTCTGCTCCAGCGATGTCCCCAAGCTCTGAAGGGGAAGAGCTAGATCGGGCGTTCGGCGGTCTCAAAATGAAGTGAGAGGGAAGACATCTGAATCACAATTGTACCGCAGCCAGCTAGTCCTCAAGCGTCTGCAAATTCCCGGCCTCGACATGCAGATTGTAGGTCCGCCTTTGGTCCTGGAAACGTTGTCTATCGTACTTTTAAAAGCTCAGGGCTACAGATTGCGCCTCAACATCTCCATGGAGGCCACCGAGGACGGGATCCTTTTCAACTCGACCGCTTCTATAACAGAACCTCCACAGACATACTTTTCCGCACCACGACCGGACTCAGGATTGACAATCATCGACAACCCGTTCCGAACTCGGCAGTCGACAGTCCTCGTCATCATCGGAGTCGTGGCTCTGGGCATCTGTACGATGTATCTAGCAGTCCGCTACGCACAGGTCCTGAGATTCAATATGCACGAACACGTCAAGGCCCCATTGACACTGGAGGCGCAAAAGCCAAACTGGTCGGGCAACGTTGACGAGGATGAGGGATACCTAGACGGCCAGACTCCTGTCACCCAGTCTTCCCATCCACGCGATGACAATCACTCCTCTATCCGACGGCGTCCACGAGCCAGGTTTCTGCAGCCCAAGAGGATCGCAATCGGAGGAGTTCGAGAAGGGAAGATAGCGCAGCGGAGAGCTTCAAGGTCGAGGAGCGTTGGACGTGACGTACAAGCACCGGAGAGCAAGCTTGACATGACGGATTAGATCTGGACGACCATCGTGCCTACTTCTTTCACCAGATCCGTTACAGAGCTTCAGCAGATTCCAGTATTACGGCGTGCGCACAAGCTTTTTAGAGATCGGTTGTGGCAATAGATCTGAAGAGGAGCGATCTCCCTATCATTATGGCGCACAGTATCCCCCATCGACCAGAATATCAGTCCCTGTGGTATAGGAACTTGCGTCGCTAGCGAGATACAAGTACGCGCCCACCAACTCAATTGGCTCCCCTTCACGCCCCATCGGAATCTTGTCTCTCCAGATACTCTTCGTTTCAGGAGGCACAAAATTGCTGATCTCGGTCGCAATGTATCCCGGAGAGATACTGTTCGCCCTGGCAAACTGCACCCACTCCACCGCGAGACACTGGCACATGTGCTTAACATTGGCCTTTGCAGCATTGTAGGCAGTCTGCAGTTGCGGGATGTTCGCAATATGTCCAGACATGCTGGCAGTTGCAATAAACTTCCCATAGGTGAAACCTTCCAGCTTATTCTTCTTCTGCTCTCTCCATATTCTGCCCGCCGTTCTCGCGCAGTAGAAGACGCCGTCGACATCGATCTTCATCACGTTTCGATAGTGCTCCAGCTCGCCTCCCAGCATGGGTCCTTGCGTCCAGGGGATGCCGGCGTTGGCGACGAATATGTCCAGTCGATTGTTGAACTCTTTGACTTGAGAAACTATGGCTTCGTCGATAGACGCCGCGTCTCGAACGTCGACTTGGTATGCTCGACCTATGGGTCGTTGAGCCTCCCGGTTCCGTCACGTTAATGAGGGGCTCAACACTTACACTTGACGCCGAATTCCTTCTCAATCTCTTCCGCCCGTTGGTGAGCCTTTTTGTTCGAATGAAACCATATGGCAACGTTGGCGCCGGCTTCTGCATATCCTCGCGCTACTGCCAACCCGATGCCTTGTCCTGCTCCAGAGATGATGGCTGTCTTGCCCTTTAATGAGAACAGCGGCATGATATATTTCGACTCGGGCGGTTCGGTGTTGTAGTGTTTGAAGTTTCCTCCATTCATGGCGTCATCCATCTTGACAATTCGTTTCTGGAAACCCTGTGGAAAACAATTCTACGGCAGGATCACTCAATCTGTTGTTGCAACGGTTACCAAAACTCGAACTTCTCAATGGAGCGAATGCAGTCTTGCAATTGAAGGTACCACTACAGATTGCTTATATACTGCTGATTATTGCATGCCGAACCCCCACATCTAGACCCGTTGAAGGAACAATGCCGCTCCGGTTCCAGGACCTGAAATCGACAGTTGTCCATCTGGCGGAGTCAAGCAAGTATCCATTGGCAAATGGCAGGCACGCAGATCCGGCCTTCCTAGGCTGGGATGAAGAGCCATTTTCACATATCTAGGTAGGTAGCAGATCCTTCCGACGCCGCTGAATGGTGCCCAGCTCAGCGTGGTGGTGGAGGTATGACCACCGGAGAACTGCCGCTTCTGTACATGTTTGATGTCGACGCCTTGATCAAACTTAACTTCCTGTTCTATAGCACCTTCCCTCAAGTCTCAGAGCGACACTCCTTGCAAGCAACCTTCTCGATGGTGTGGACAAAGTGTGACATTCGCCAAGTCCGCCCTCTCATCGCGTACATCAGTGCTGGGCATCGCACAGAATGGATAGCAACGCCCTCCACCCTCATCGGTGCTTCGCTTGCGTGCGAAGGCAATATATCGTCTGGGCGAGATGCTCTGTCTTTCTAGCAATCTGCAGCCAGCCTGACGTCTCGATGGTTTGGGCTGGCCTGTCCTAGCAGACTTCTTGAAGAGGAAAATTGTTTCAAAGGTACCTCTCTTTCCACCAGCAACCTCACGGTCTCGTACGCGTTCGTAAGCAGCATACTCTTTTCAGCCAGACTATCATGGCATCAACTGGCCATGGCGGTAACCACGTGCTTCGAAGAAGGTATATCCTCGTGCATTCCTGTTTGAGTCTTCATCCCTTGCCACAAGGCTGTGCAATCTCCCGCATTCCAGCCGCCGCTCCGACTCACTCGTGCAAACAGCATTCACGAACCTTGCCCTCTCCACCATGTTTCGGGTTCGTGCAGGTCGGCAGAGTGAGAGGCGTCGAGAAGTGAACGATGTGGTCGATAGGGTCAATAATAACGGTGGCGGTCGTTGGTGCTGCGGCTTTGACGATCACAGGGATACTGCTCGCAATCAGTCTGGAGCGACGGCGCCACACTAAGATCTTGCAAGCGCATGGCCTGGCGCGAGGTCTCAGCAGGTATCATCGGCCCAAACTCAGCGTCAATGGGCTCAACTACTCTCATATTATGCCTCCGGGTTCCCTTCTCAGACGAAGTATTCAGTTACCATACGGAATTGTATCCGTGGGGCACGAGGGCAAGCCTGGCGACGACGAGGAGAAACAACCGGGTGCCTCAAACGAACGTGTCGGCGAGTATACGGAGGTGCTGCGACCCAAAACCAACAGAAGCATACAGCGTGGATTCAGTGGCGAGCCGCTACATATCGCAAAGCCACGTCGAGCGGGAAAGTTACGCAAGGCTATGCCAATAGAGCGCATACAAAGATCGCCTCTATCAGCTATCACCGAGTTCAGTGACCCTCCCACAAGCGCTCCTCCCGATGCACGTGAATTCTCGGCTCATTCAACGACAATATTACTCCCAGAAACCGCTATGATTCGGCCGGAAAAGCATCTTTCGACTCAGTGGCCATTGGCCAACGCGACCACACGAGGCTCCAGAAGCATGCCTACTGAAATTATGGAAATAACAGCACGGGAAAGCGTGCTCATGCGAAGAGGAGGAGGTGGACATAATATTTCGTCGACCTCGCCCGGAATCCCGTATTCCACCAGTGCGATTAGTACGGCCTCAATGGCGCCAGATGATCCCCTCCCTCCCCTGCCTGCAATCGACGCCTTCAAACGTCCCAAGAATCATGACTTGAGGAGAGCATCTAATGTCAGTCTCGAGACGATAGGCAGTTCAGTCTTGGGGCCCTCCATGAGCTCGCCTGCCGATAACAGAGAAGCTGGCCATTCCTATCTTGCACGGAATCGGCGGCCTCCCACGTTTGACCTCGCATTGAAGCGAGACTGCGCAACGCCAGAACTCCAGGCACCGCCGGTCAAGAAGACGATCCACGGACTGGTCACAGGTGCAAGCATCCGCTCCCTGCATCCAACCGTGGTCACCGACGAGGCAAGCCGGGCGAGAGATCCCATGGACGTTCCGCGACTGCCACCCGTCGTTGTACGAGAAGAATCTCTCAAGACCATCGATGCCAGTAACTGGACTTTACCGCCCTTGAAGGTCAACAAGATTCGAGCGCAGTCCGGTCAACCTAAGCGGCACTCCATGATTGAACCATCGAGGCTTGCACAATGGCGCACAGTAAGTGACCCTGCCACGGGTCTTGTTCCCGAAGACGACGTCTTCGCCATTGGCGAGGCTTTGAGGCGACCGAACTCAGTGGCCACTGGAAATCCGTTGGATTGGAATCGGCAGACAGGCTCATTATCCAAACGCCATTCTCTGACGTCCCTGACTTGTTCTGACGGACCGAAGCGTGGTCATAAACGGCAAAACTGCATCAGAATCATGAATTTGCCTGTCCCTGAGAAAAAGTCCAGTGTGCAACGACTGCCAGAGCTGCGAGAAGAGCTGCCTGTGAATTCGACGGGCGCAACTCCCAAAGGCGGCCCTTTCGAGGTCAACCAACCTCGACCAATTTTCAGACCAGGGTCGCCCACGCACATGGACCTCAAGTCGTCTCCAACGCCATCTCCTTTCAAGAACGCGCCGATTCTGACGCCTACGCCTCGTCCAGCTCGGAAACAGTACATACAGCCTCCGGCGAGCTCGGCATCGGGACTACGCAGACCTTCGGGGACAGCCAGACCGGACTCGGAGGTCTTCAACTCCAACCACATGGACGTGCCAATGTCAAGTCCGTACAACAACACACCTCGCCATTGGCCGCTTTCGCGCTCCATGCAGCTTGACGTGAACGACACGCCACCGTCGGCGCGACCATCAGAGCCACCGCCGTTCGAGTCGCCGATCTTGCCGTCTCCAGCCTGGAATTCATCGTCCTTGTACCCACGGAAGTCGTTGGTCAAGGGACCCCGAAGCCCACGAAACAGTGCGCAAACTAGTACCAGCAGCACCAGCCCTCTTCAAAACAAACAAGGCCACAGGAACCGCGTGGCGAAAAACACCGTGTCGAATGGTCAAACGGGACTGACTCTAGGGAAGACCGTCATAATGTTGAGGAGCATCAACTCGGAGGCCCGTCTACTCGAGCAACGAAGCTCCAATGCCGGCGACGAGAAGAGCCCCGAGATCACTGCTCCGCCCTCTCCGCCCTTGAACAAACGCGTAATGGGCCTCAGGAACTCGAGTTGTGCTCCATCCATATCGAGTACGCCTCCGTCTCCGCCGCCTCCTCAAGAGAGACATCAGGTCGTGCTCAGTCGTGGTCCGAGTCCTCTCGCCTACGCGAGCAGTCTGCAGCCAAATGAATTGGCCAGAGGCACAAAACCAACCCTGTGTCTTCCAAGGTCGCATCTCTCCGTCTCCCCTTCAACCAGAGTCACCTCGATGATGTCGACTGGCGGCGCCTCAATTTGGGAAGACGCCAGCGTGCGAGCCGAGTCTCCCGACCCAGAAGAGGAAAGCGAGGCCATTGCCCCGCTCGCACTGCGCACGCTAGTCAAGACAGACCAGAACCAAAGGTCCTTGGCCTTGTATCCTTCTCGATCGTCGTCCATCCTTACACGGGATTTCGGCACCCGGGCTGGGACGGAGGTGGGGGTCGAGAACGAGCACGGGAACGCCATTGAGAATATACAGGTGGACACGAGCCAGAATCTATATGCTGACAACAACGCCAGCCACGTGGTGCGACGGCTGGAACGCGTCGTGAGCGGCGGGCAATGGGACCACAAGCACATCTCCAAGCAGAGAAGTATGACGACTCACAGCCAAACAGACAAGGCAGAAGCCGTCACGCCGCGAACAAGACGGGAGATGGACGTCTTCGACGGGAGGAAAAAGGAATCGGCCGTCGGGTTGGGACTCACGTTGAGATTGGATGATTTGGTCGTGGGAAGGAATCGGTTGGCGAGGTCATAAGCGGAGGGGTCAAGCAGGGCAGAAGGGTGACCTGCAGGGTATGCACCGTCTGGTCCTTGGACTAGGACTTGGCCTTGGACTCAGATTCGGACTACATACACATACCTTGACTTGCAGTATTTGGAGACGAGCACGGCCGGCGGCTGGGGACCAGAGCAGGAGCACGTGGAGGAAACAGATGCGGATGGGCGGGTTTCTATCACATTTGGGCTTCTTTTTGACTTCCATACAAGTCAGGGTGCGTGGCCTGCATATTTCAGTGAGCGTTGTTCGTTCTTCTTCATTTCAGTCTTCTGTGCTGCTGTCCGCTGCGCGCTTTCTACGATACCTGCTCAGCTTTTACTTGACTGGAGGATGTATGTCCTTTGATACCCCCCATGCACGTATGCTATGCTCCATGCTAATTAGCCATATTGTTGGACCTCCAATAGTATTTCCTGTGCTGTTCTATCCTGTGCTCCCCCGTACCAGTCTTGTTGATGCTCCGAAGAACTCGACTGATGATTGGTGATACTGATACTGATACTGATACTGATAGTCACAGTCACAGTCATGGTGATAACAACAGCGAAAAGCGGGCGGAATGAATCATCATTTAATTACTCTGTATGATGGATGGACCCCGGCACGCTTCCGCATTCATGTCTACGCGACGCCTTGTGCAGTACTCGTACGAGGTACAGTACCGAACCCACGGCATGTAGGAATGCATGCTTCCATAATTAGTTACGGAGCAATTATGATAGGTTAAGTAGCCTAATTAATATACTTACAGTACTCTGCCACCGAGTTGCTGACCAGCCCTCGCTCACACACTCGGGCACTCACGATTTATCATGGAGAGGTCCGCAGCGTCTGAGATGGCCTAAATAGAAAGACTGAGAATCCGAGCCCTCTGTGCTGGCTTATTGGACCTCTCTTACTGTACTCCGTACAGTAGCTTGTATACTTACCTGTTATGAACGTGGGGAGCACGCGGGTCACGACACACGTATGTACTGTAGTCCGGATGGCCAACTCGACGCTCCAAGAGTCCTTACCTATGTACGGAGTAAGTAGTGTTCATCTCCTACCTTCCATCGTCATATCGAGAGACCACCTACAGTGCCTACTCCGTACTTGCGTCCTCGCTTTGTATACCATCACGATTGTCTCTCACTTGTGTTGATCTTAGTGTGGTTTCTATATCTAGTCTACACACATAGTACACGGTACATATTACACACACTAACAGGGCATCTTCCCTTCTCTCGTTCTCCTCTCGTTCTCCTCTCGTTCTCCTCTCGTTCTCCTCTCGTTCTCCTCTCGTTCTCCTCTC